CCCGCGCCGGCGTCCCGCGGTCCGCGCCGTCCCCGCCCACTTCGGGCCAGTGGCCTCTAGCGGACAGCGCCAAGTCCCCCACCTGGTGGGGAGCCCGGGAGGCAGTCTGCGCGTGCTCGGGGATCACCGGGTGCGTGCACGTACTGCGAGAGCGTGCGTCCGGCAGCGCTTGGGGGCTGGCGCTGGCGAAGTGTGAGCACGCGCGCGTGAGGACAGTGTTTTCCATGCAGCTTCTTATATTGGTGGCGCTGTGGGTTAGGCGTTGGGCGCCACCCAGAAAGATCCGTGGTTCAAACCCAGCAGCTGCTCCTCAGGAGGAAGATGAGGCTGTCTGCTCCTGTAAAGATTAAAACAGAAATCAAAACACTGCCATCGAGTTGATTCAGACTCATATAGGACAGGGTAGACCTGCCTTTGTGAGTTTCCGAGACTGTCATTCTTTATTGGAATAGAAAGCCTCGTCTTCCTCCCACGGAGCAGCTGGTGGTTCGGTTGATCTTGCTGTTAGCTGCCCAACACGCCACCGGGGTTCCTTCTACAGCAGTGGTTCTCAACATTCTTCATGCCGTGACCCTTTCATGCAGTGCCTCATGTTGTGGTGACCCCCAACCATAAATTTATTTTCGTTGCTACTTCATCACCGTCAATTTGCTACTGTGATGAATCGGGCAATCCCTGAGAAAGGGTCGGGTGACCCACAGGTTGAGAACCCCCGTTTTAAAGGTTTACAGCCGTAGAAACCCTGTACAGGGTTCCTATGAGTTGGAATAACAGAGAGCCTTGGTGGGGTAGTGGTTGGGCATTGGGAATAGTCAACAGTTCAAATTCCCTGAACCTCTGCAGACTGAGGACGCTGGGCCCACAGGGTGTTGGATTTGCCATGTGGGGTAACAGATCTACCCCGTGCACAGTACTCCCTCAGCTCTTGTTCCAACCCTGGGCCAATCGCTGAGCCTGTCTCCCTCCCGCACCTTGGTGGAAGCATCCTTTGTACTGTATGGTTGAAGGGTGGCATGTCATGTCTCCCTGGAGTTTACTGTGATTGAGAAATGACCTGGTGTGCACCCGGGGACGTATTTGGAGCCTGAATCAATGACGTTTCCTACAACGGTCTCTTTGTAGCTCTGTTGGATGCAGGGTACCAGAGGTTCATGAGCCCCATTATTGAGGAGAGGGATCTTTGGGGACTTCTAGATTTCTCAGAATCCGATGAAAGCCATAGGCCATATTCCCAGAGAGAGATTGTGTGTGCGTGTATGCAGATACACACACACACACAGAGCAGATGTAGACAGAGACACGTAGGGACATAGACATGCAGACAGACACAGACACAGCAGATATAGTCAGGCATGCACACAGATAAACACAAACACACACACACAGCGGATGTAGACAGGCATACAGAGACACACACAGATACACAGATAGCTAGACAGACACAGCAAATGTAACACACAGCAGATACAGACAGACATACACATAGAGATATAGACAGACAGCAGATGTAGACAGGCACACACACAGGGACACAGATGCACACACACAATGACAGGTACACATAGACAGGCATAGATACACACCCACAGAAACACACACAGACAGACTCACAGACATGGACAGGAGATGTAGACAGACTGAGATCACACACATCCGTGTGCGCGCTGTCCCCAGGGCCCTCGGGCTCCCTGCTGCCCTCCGTCACCCCTCCCACCCCTGCCTGTGAGGTCCAGCTCATAATTGAGCCCTGAGGGGCACTGGGGTTTGCAACACAGGGCTAGCCTTTTTCTTCCCTTTACTCTCCCTCCGCCCAAGGGCCTCTGCAGGCCCCTACTCTGGGTGACTGCTCCTGTGCTTCACAGGAGCTTCCAGAACTCCTGCATCCCCTGTGCCCTCTGCTCAGCCATGGAATTCCTGAAGCTTCCTTCCAGTCTAGATCCTGGTCACTGTCCCCCAGACTCCAGCTTTGAGGACAAGGAGAACAACTAGGTCCACTTCCAGTTTCTTATTAGTGTGAGAGTACAAATGCTTAATTACATGCGTGTGTGGAGTGTGCAGGCAAGAACAAAACAGACTCTTGGGGCGACTGATGGAAAAGTGATTCTCACAAGGAGCCCTGGTGGCTCAATTGGTTAAGCACTGGGCTGGGCAGTTCGAGCCCACCAGCCGCTCAGCGGGAGAAGGATGAGGCTGTTTGTGTTTGTACAGATCCACAGCCTCAGGAATGCATAGGGGCAGCTCTGCTTTGTCCTATAGGGTTGTGTGGTAGTTACATTATCTGGTGTCAACTTGAGACAATTAAGAGTGAAGAGGTGGAATTTAGCCTGTCAATCAGGTTGCAGCTTGATGACGTTTGGAGGCGCTATGGAGATAAATAGCTTGCTGGAGGCCAGACCCAGACTCTCTGATACACATTCCTGTTGACAAGCTATGTGGAGCTATGTTGATGGAGCCTGAGCCCTGAAGCTGGAGGATCCACGTGGAGACCCATACCAGCGCTGAGATGCTTCCACTGCCACTGGATCCACAAGACTTTCCACCCACAGGCCTGTGACCTTCCTGCATTTGGCATCATTACATGTGTTGCATGAGTCAGAAGAGGAATTTATGGACTATTACCGGAGACATATGGGCTAATATCAGACTCATGGACTGGACTGGGATGTTTTCTCAAGGTACATGAGTGTCTATGAATTCGTTTCTCTAGTCCACCTGGACTCACACAGGTTGCTGTGAGCTATTGTCAAGTGCCTTCGAGTTGGCTCCAACCTGAACAGCCCTTCGGACAACAGATGTCCTGCTCTCTCGTTTGCCTCGATGACAGTGAGTTTTGTTTTTTTTCCCTCCAATAGGTTCTCTGTTAGTCAGAAGGGACTGCCGGTAGTGGGCTGGGCTTGATGTTGTGGTCACTCTTATTGTTGAGGTAACACCCCTCACCGGCCTCCACCCACCCGGCCGGCTGCTGAACCTGTCACCGGCATGACTATCACAAGTCAGAACGTCATCACCCAGATGTCCCTGCAGCCCAGAGACTCCCATGTCCTGTGGTCACTCTGTCCACCCTGCACCCACTCCCAACAGCAGGAGCTTGCCCTTTAGCCCACCTGGCACCTCTGAGGGCCAGAGCTTTGTCTCTCCGCAAGCTGCCCCGTCACTGTACAGAGCTGCTGTCCTCCCAGAATCAGAACCAGGAGCCATCCAGGCCGACAGATCCTGCCCACAACATATAAGGCAGAGTAGTAACACCCCAGTGTGCACCACCGTGGTGTCAGGAGCTCGTGGACAGCCATGTCTGAGGGCCAAGGCCACTCTGCAGGCTGTGGCACCACCCCCGTCTCTTGGGCACCTCCTGCCCAGCTCGGCCTGAGCCCTCTCTCCCCTCCCGGCTCCTCTCCCCACCTCCTATGCTCCTTCCTCCTGGAACTTTGCACACAGCTGGTGGTCAGTCAGCGTTGGTGAACCAACCCAAGTGCTATCAGCCGCTTTTCCTGCTGGGGGTGGTGGGGGTGCAGGCACACGGCTGGAATAACTCTCAATCCTCAAGATGCTGCTGCAGCACCCGCAGTGGCTTTGAGTGCCAGGGGAGGGCCTAGATGCCGCTGTTCAGAGACGCGCCCTGGAGGACAGTGACTGGGCTGCCTCTTGGCGGGCACCGAGTGAGGATGGTGAAGTAGTTCAGGTAGAGCGGGGCACCAGCACCCCAGGCAGGGGTCTAGGTCTGGAGGGGACCTTTGGCTTCTTCCTCAGTCTGCTCCAGGAGACAGAGCCCAGTCCTCCTGGCCTCCTCCTGCTCCATTCCCTCCTTCCCTAGAGCCCAGGGCTCAGAGTTAACCGTATCCTCGTGGGCGGCCGTCCTGTTTCTCCCTGCCTCCTCCTGAAGACGAACACCGCCCCATCCCCATCCCTATGTGGAGCTGTGGGACTGTAGTCCTGGGGTCACCCCCAGTGCGGAGTCCCTTGCCCTCCGGAGTGGAGCTGTGGGGAGACTGTGAGGGCAGGGCGGCAGCTGGAAGCCAGTACCATGGGAGGGTGTGGCTGGGGCTTCAGTGTGAATGTCTGGCCATCCCCCCCATCTCCAGGTGCACCCCAAGATCTGCATGGGAGGGGGTGTGAAGGGTTGGCAGCAGGATGTGGGTGAGGGACCTCATACCTGTCTTGTCACCACCCCAGCATATCTGGGGGGACTCAGGGCAAGTGGGTAGAAGCACCCAGAAGCCCACCCAAAGCAGAGGAGCCTGAAGAGCAGCCAGCCCCTGCCCTGCTCATATCAGTTTCCTTCCTTTTATTGTAAAAATACAGACAGCAAAGGGTCCCCACATACAATCCCACGAGGCCCACGGAGTGCTCTGGGCTTCGGAGGCATGGAAATGAAGTCCAAGGCAGCCCTGGGCTGCGTCCCTCCCGGCCCTCGTCTGGGGGACTGTGGTCTGGCGGGGAGGGGGAGCCTGGCCATGATTGGGCCTGCTGGTCGCATGCATGGTGCTGGCTGACCCCCGAGGCAGGCCCCTGGGCTGGAGCTCGGTGTGAACAGAAGGTGGGTGAACTGAGGGTAGGGGATGGGGTAGACGCAGAGTTTCTGGCTTGCCTCCTGATGGTACATGCTTGGGCACTCAGCCCTTTCTTGCACATTGCCATCGCCGGTCGGCTTTGTCGCTGGCCCAAGCCTCTGCACCTGCCCACAAGTGTCACAGTCCTCAGTGGCCCGATTCCCAGAGTGCGGTCACTTCTGAGAGGTCAGCAGAGCCCGGGAAGGAGGCGTAGGGACAGGGAGCAGTGGGAACTGGTGTTCTATAACCAACATGGGCCGCTTCCTCTGTGTGTCCTCCAGCGCGGCCATGTGGCGAGGTCGTGATCCAGGCTCAGGCCATCCCAGCACAGGAGCGTGAGAGCTGGGCTTGGGCGCTGCCATGCCAGGCGTGGGGTCCAGCGGTGGGCTTGTGGCTTGGCCACGCCCTCGGGCTTCTGTGAGGGGTGGAGTCTATCTTGGTGACTTGCTGTGTGCTGGAGTTGGTGGGGGTAATGGGGCGCTGCCAGCCCCCTCTGCGCCCCCATTTTCCTCCTGTGTGAAGTCCAGGCATGGGGCTGCTGTCTTAAAGGCTTCTTCTGGTTGAACAACCTGGGCCCGCGTAAGAAAGGCGCGGCTTTCTGTGACCTGCAGGCACCACCAGACTCCCACACACTTCCTTGGGGTCCGGAGCCCAGGCTCCTTCTACGCACTCCCTGCGGGGGAAGAGCCCCACCCCAGGCCCACCCTTGGGCTGGACTGGGCCCACTAGCTGAGCTGGAAGCCCACCCCCAACACCCTGGGTCCCGAGGTGGTCAGGGGCAGGGGGCGTGGCTCGGAACGGACGGGATATTTACAGTAGTGGAAGGCCCTCCTTAAAGTATCCGGGAGTAGAAGTATATATAGCTTTATATTTATATAATATATATAGTGTACTTCATTAGCTGCTCGACCACGGATAAGCGACATCTACAGCTTCCTCCCCTCGCAGCCTTCTCTGGCCACCCCAAAGGCCTGCGGAAGCCAACACATCCTCGGCTGTGCGCCCCCCACCCCCCGTGACCCGGGGTGGGGGGGCGAGCGCCCCCACCGCCGGATACTACAGTCCCTGCAGACCGGACCGCTGGCCGGGCTGCAGCCGCGCTCGCTCCCGGGCCCTGCAGAGAGCACGTGCGTCCTCTGGTGCGGGCTGCGAGCGCACATCTTCCTGGCGCAGACCAGGGGAGGTAGGGAGGGGAGATGCTCAAACCAGGATCCCCCGCCCCGGCCGGCCGGCCCTCAGACGCTCCTCGGGGCTGGCCAGCTTTCCTGGAGGGCGGACAACTTGGCTCGGGGCCGCCCTGAGCAGCTTGCGTGGGGGCAGGCCTCCCGGGCCGCGGGCGCGCCCCCCACCCTTCCCCCGTGCACCGCGGCCCGCACGCGGGGCAGCGGGCGCGCGCGTTATTTGTAGGGCCGCAGGAACCGGGAGACTTTGGAGCGCAGCAGCCGGATGAAGGAGCGGGGGAACATCTCCTTGGACTCCTGGGCCGTGTACTTGAAGTAGTTCTGCGGGTGCGCCAGCACGTCGAAGAGCGCCTTGATCAGCTTCTTGTCCTGCGAGACCCGCCAGCCGCCATGAGCGCCCGTCGGGGCAGCCGCCGCCCGCTCCGCCCCCATCTCCCTGGGAACTCACTTTCAGAATTTCCTGGTGATTCTCCGAGGCGTACAGCCGCCCATCGCGGACGATGTCCTCGATCAGCTGCTGGTAGTCCTCTGGGAAGGGAGGGAGGTGAGGGCTGAGGTGGGGAGGGGTCTGCTGCTGACGCTCCCCACCCCAACTCCGCTGCCCTGTTGCTCCAACCTCAGGGTTAGCCTTGGGCCAGGTACAGTTCTGCCTTTGCGCCTGCACTTTCCTCCAGCCACGCACTAGCCTTGCAGTTTGGCTACCCAGAAAATTCCTATTCAACCTTCAAAACCCGTTGTGCAGACAGCAGCTGGTGTGTAGCCTGCGCACATCATCGATCTCTCCATTGTCTGCTTTCAGGCCCCTGAGAACGCTGCCTGGAGCCCCGCCCCCGCCCCCGCAGGGCTGTGGGAGGCCGCTGGGCGGGGCCTCACCATCGTAGGTGACGTAGGGCACCTGGAACCCTTTGGCACTGTTCGCTTCGTTGGATTTGAACTGGATCCAGAGCTTGCGGGAGCGGGAGGTGAAGGCGATGGGCCGCCCGTACGTCTGGCAGGTCTCGTAGGTGGTGACGGACGTGGGGGCAGCTGTGGGGTGGATGTAGGCTGAGCGGCAAGGCTCCTGCTCTGTCCCCTC